GGTGGATATAATTCTTGTTGATAACTTGGCTACTACTACCGCTTGTACCATCTACCGCCATTGTAGTTTAGTTTTAGTTTCATGAACTGTATGGGGCACTTCAATAGGCTTAACCTTTTCTCATAAACTTTATGGTCATTTTGGAATGAGTCTCGGCAGAATGTTTTATTCTATATTATCCTCAAATTAGTACCAACCTTGTTGATGATATTATCATCGGCGGTTTCATAACTGAGCTTTCATTCATGCAACTCTTTTTTTGAGTCAGTTCTCTTTAACAATGCATTTATGGCTTGCTTAGTCAATATTACTTGTCAACCCTAAACCACTGATTGCGTGTTGAACTGGATACCAAGTACTCTGCAATACTTTATATGTCTTCTAAATACTTACATAAGGCTCCAGAATTCTTCTCTTGATGATGGGTCAAGGCGCCAAAACACATTAGTCTTACTATTTACTTGGAGGTGAGGACAATCACCACTAGGCCAAGTTCATCTAAATCAGAGTTGCATCTGTGTTTTCATAATGTTATTACATTTCCTATTATAGAAATCAAATTTTCTGCTTTGATGGTTTTATTCGAATGGTACTTCTTCTTTTGAATCAAAGAAGAATTGACACCTGATATGGAACAGAAGAGAGAACCAGATATCAGTATCTATTTTATCCTTATTTATATATTTTTTCAATATAGAGAGAAAGAGATGATAATAACAAAATTTTTCTGTGCACTTGACTCATAGCCCCCGTTTGAGCCCCATTAATTTTCATTACATTACATTTCATTTTTCTCTCTCCTATTTTCAACCACACAATTTTCAATAAAATAATATGACACGTAAATCGAAAAATTTTCCTTCTTTTTCAACCACTCATTTTCAAAAAAATACTATTCCATCCATTAATTTTTCCACATAATGGGGGCCAAACAGGGGCATAATGTCAAATGACAAAAGTATCTAAACTCACCTTTTGTGGGAGTGGATCAACATATTGAGGTGTTGATTTAGCTGCTTTCATTTTTTATGTGACTGATTTAACAAAACAATAAATGCATGTGTAACTTTCTTATCAATTGCAACTTTATTGAATGGCTCCAGATAAAGAGACGGTATATTATATCTCTAAAACTTGCAGGTGGTGATTGCTTTGTGGCTTTTGTCCGTCATTGGTAGCCTGATATCTTTCTTCACTCTCTTATACATAGGTATATAAATTCATCATTCGGTCTTTTGACTTCTCTTGTACCATGCCTTTTACTAATGACTTTCGTGCATTGTGCTGTTCTTTCATCTGTGGGGTCATTTACTTATATTAACAAATTGCTTGTGCCATGCCTGATGTTATTGGTATGAAATATTGAGCTCATGCAGTCAAATCCAGTTCCCAGCATAGCTTTTGAAAAAGGATTCAGTTAAAACTACGCAAGTTGAAAAATTAGGGCTCAGTTAAAAAAAAGTGGAGGAGCAGGGTGTTCGGATGTGCGTATATGTGTGTATACTCGGTGTTCCTTTTTAGGTCTTAGTTTTCTTGTTTTAACAGAGGTCTCGTTCCTTTCAGTTTCTCATCTTCTTTGGTTTGGTTGGGAGATGTATAGCTTGCTTTGAAGTCGCATATAGAAAAGCAAGACCAAAAGAGTCTTAGGATATGAAATATGATGTTGAAAATTTATGGGTTCGAGATCATCTCTTTCCACTATTGTAGATAGGATCCTATTAACCGACCCTAAGGCGGTCTGGAACCTAGTGTTTAGCAAAGTGGGTATTGAATTTTTAATTTTTTTGGGGTTGGGGGGTATTGTGGATCTAATGGTGTCTAGTACTTATAGTTTCACATGACATTACATTATTTGTGGGTAAAGAGTCCTTTACAAAGGATAAAGTAGACCTTAACTGCGTTTATATTTAGCCCCTGTTTGGTTCAACCAAAAAATTGGATTAAAATTTAAGTCAAAGTGAACAATAAATTTTAACCACACATTTTATAAGACTTACAACTTTTATCAAAATCTACTAAAAATCTAATGTTTATCTAAACCAAACAGGGGCTTAATCTTCGCTGCAACTTCAACTTGTGCGAGGGTGTAACATAACTTAACCCTACACGCTTTAAGCATGTTTGGGGTACTACTGTGTCTCTGACTGGTAATGTGACTTGGTAATGTCGACTGCATTTGGCTTGCTACTGATATATATATATATATAACGATTAAATCCCTTTTGTTGTGATCTCTTACAATTTTTCCAACGCGTTGCAGGAATCGTCATTTCTATCACAGTTCCAGCTTTGTACAATAAATTTGAAGATCGTGTGGATCGATATGCTGGTATGATCCACCAAAAGTTTTCAAAGCATTATAAAATTGTCGATGAAAGTGTAATTAGTAGATTATCTAGGAATCTGTCCAAGGAAAAGGATCCTTAATTCCAATTAGGCGCTCTATGATAAAGCAAATCGTCTTTTCTTTTAATCGTTTTCTTTTCTTTTTTTCAATGGCACCTTTTAATCATGCTCTCTTCAGATTTCTAGCTGGACGTAAAACCAGAGGATCAGTATTGTAGCAAACAAGAACCTTTTTTTTTTCTTTTTTTTTTGTGTGCGTGTGTGTTTGTGTTCACTGGTCTTGAAATCTTTTTGTGGAGTTATATCTGTGATTATTTTTCTGTTTTTGTAATGAAAAACATCTAGTGACCTTACCATAAAATAAACAATGGTATCCTAATAAGGTGAAATTGAATAATGCCAACTAGCATCCACCCATTGGTGCTAGAATATTAGTATAGTTGGTATGATAAAATAAATCCAATTAAAGTTAAATTAAATTAAATGTTAATTATAACTACATTGTAATTGTTTTGAAAAATGTTAATAACCTTTTCTTGACCCGTTAGTTTGCATATCTAGAGTAAATAAATAGACATCGAATATTCTCAACATTGACTAGTGTATACTCAAGACAAATCTAATCGTTAGTTGATGTTCTCGAGGCTTGAGGTTTCGGATTGTTCGGGGCACGACAAGACTGGCATTACTTTACTTTTGCAAGCTTGATTGATACGTGTGCTCTCAAGGGCTTGAGGTGTCGAATTGTGTAGAACACGAAGAGAATGGATACAACTTTACTTGTGCAAGCTTGATCGACAGGTGGACTCTATATATGGGATTAGGGGTTGTTTTCTCCCCCTTCCCTCATGTCTAGATCATCTGTGAATATGTTGGGTTGGGTCCCAAGAGATTTGTCTTGGCAATTTTTAGTAGACGTGGTTAAGATTAGACGTACAAAATGGTCGGGCCACCCAAGTTTGAATCAATTCAGCCATGTTTGGGCATTACATGGCTGTCTTGGATTGACTTGGCTTTTTAGACTGGTCATGTTTAGTTTGGATTAGTATCCCCGTGATGTACGTGATCAAAGATGACTGAGAATGAAGGTAGGAAAACAAGATTTGGATAGGTTTGGCTGGGCGATCTTATAGGAGGATAAGTCGTACAACCTAAACTACTGACGCTACATGTTATAGGGCACTCGTTTAACATGTGTAATCAGAATATGCTAATATTAGAAGGCAAATACGTCATACATAAGTTGCTCGAAGTTCAGATTTTGCATTGAATAAGATTTTTACTTACAAACTTATATGATATTTAGGTGGCTTCATTCAATCTTTGCCACCATTTGAATTATATATATGGAAAAAAAAAAAAAAAACAAACAAACAAACAATAACTATAAAAACTATGATAAGTAGGCTTATGCGGGTGCTATCCAGCCACCACATCATTAGAGGTACTTGTCATAGACTTGACTTGTCCAAATCATGACATATTCCGGCAACCCATCTTGACTAATACCAAACTTAATCTTTAAAGTCGAATTTTTTCCAAATGTTTCTATGAATTTTCAATTAACGGAACTAAAATTGCCCGCCTTGGAATGTTTGTCCGAATTGCCAACCAGCTGGGACGACATTGCCACTAGTGATTGTCCTTCCATCACTTGCGGTGACTTGAAACGAGAGGCTTTGGCCGTTCAAATAGGAATTGCTCTGCCAATTTTGGCCCCAATTTCTTGACATTTGTTGCCATCCTGTTTTTGAACCCTTGATTGATACTGAATGTACGTCACCCACACCACCAACATTGGTTATCAACACAAGGTTGAAGTAGGAATGACCATTTATTGTGAACTTTATTCCTCCCTTCTTTACGCAGGGCACCCTATAAACACCAATAAACAATGTTTCAGCAAGAAATCTTCAAAACTTGACCAATATAGGCAATAGTTGACGGTAAGATCTACAAAATTGTTTATTTTAATTTCTCTTTCTTCACCAAAGATTTTGTATATTATAGTGTAGTCTCTCGAAGTATGTTGCAGAAACCTTAATTTTTGGATTTCCCAGTTGATTCGTAAAGATACGAATGTATAAGTTGGTAATGTCAAAATAAGTTGATTCATTCATAGTATGAGGTTTAGTCAAAATAAGCTAGCCCGCTACATCAAGATTAGGAAAAGTGTGGTGCCTAAGTAAAAGTTGAAAGACCGTATCTTGTTTATCTCATCTCTGAATCTGCGTAAAGTATCAATTTTTTTAATATATTAAACGCACGTTTGAGCCTCATTTTTTGTTAAAAATGTATTTTGCAATAGTAAATTGGTAGAAAATATGTGGTTAAAAAATAAAGAAAAGTTTTGAGTTTGTACGTAGTATTATTTTCTTTTCAACGAAAGATGCACTAAATTTTACTCTCGAACTTGATTTTGAGTGAATTTGCTTGTGCAGAAATGTGAAGTAAACACTAGAATAGTGCAAACTAACAATTGATTAAAATTCTGACCTTCGGAAAGAAACCGGAACAATTCCAGCACGGTATTGAGCAATTTGCAAGAAAGCCGGTTCAGCCAAATCAAAGTGCTGACGGGGCGGATTGCACCACCCGCCGTTGTCGTTCGGCAGAGATGGGTTGGGAGGGCAAAAATTTGTTGCTGTGACTGTAATGGTTCCCGAGAGGCACCATTTGGGGTCACCGTTGCAAGTTAACTCGTAGCACGCGCCACAAGTTAACCCATTGTTAAATAGAGCAGTACTTAGTGCTGCAGTGTTTGTGCCATAACCTTGGCTGTACAGGTTTCCATATCCACAGGCACCCCCTGTAACATCATTTGTTAGAATAATTCTTCGACGATTAGAGAGAGAGAGACTCAATAGACTCAGAATTTCATGCCTGATAATGTTAAAATTTAGTGTCGATTAAGTATAAAAATACTAATAGGACTTGGACTACCTCTGTTAATAAGATTGATGTTTTATAATGAAACACGAGTTTTAATAATGTTCAATGATCACACTAGTCTACGTTTAGTACACATTATTGGATAGAACGGCTCAATTTTAAAATTACATCTATTGTCTAGTAGATATACCAAGCATTCTCGAGTAGAAACGAAGAAAAAGCATACCCATTGTGCCGGACGCATCGCCTCCACCATAGAAGGTAGCATGAGCAGTCTGCCATCCTCCATAGTCACCATACACTCCTTGAAGGCAAAAGTTGAAGAAGAAAAGTACAAGAGAAAACATGGATACTGCAGGGATAGCCATTGAGAAACACAATAAAATGTAGTTTAAAGAGAGAAGGGGATTGAAGAGGTGAGTACAAAAATGGGAGTACTGAGTGAGTATTTATATAGAAAAATGGAAGATAGCATAGCAGAAAGTGACAAGTTAGCAGAATTAAGGGCTGAGAACCACGAGAAACGGAAAAATCAAAATTTGTTTAAGTCATAACACAAAGATGAAGAGAGAGTGCACATGCATTTGTTCCAACTTGAACTACCAACTGATAATCTGATATTGACCCTGTAACCACATGAATTTTTCAACTGTTTTCTTATTTTCTTGTTTCTGTATTCCCATTTTTTTATTTCATTAATTTGATTGGATGTCAAAATCAAGGATAAATATTTTTCTTGATTGCATGAAATTGCGCCTTGGCATATGTAGCTAATGTGGAATATTGGCTGCATTTGACAATGGAGATTATGGGGTTTTGGATGTCTATCTAAAGTCAAGTCAAGTTGCAACTACTTAAACAACCTAGATGTAAAATACTGCGAATGAGTCTGTAAAATTAGAGACTCGACTCAAAGTGACTAGTTTGGTGGAAGCACTCCTTTATTGTGAAACTTTCACGTATCGAACGTGTGAATGAAAAATGAATTGAAATGTAATGTAATGAATAATGAAATAGATGGCAATCTATGCTTATATTGGTATTTATAAATTGTTCTTACACTCAACTCGTTTATTAAGTGAGTTTTTGGTTTAGATAAAAATCATATTTTTAATAGATTTTGATGGGATCTGAGT